CCCCAAAACCCCAAAACCCCAAAACCCCAAAACCCCATAAAGAATAGCTGGGTTGATAAACTAGAACTTGGAATATTTTAATTTATAATATGGCGTCCAGAGATGCAAGTAAAATAAACCTTATTCATATCAAGCAATAGGCCTGTCCATCCCAGATTTGTTGGGGCTCCTAAGTTCTCAAAACAGGGGTTTGTGAAACTCGACTCGTAGACATTCAGAATTTTAGAGCCAAGATTTGGTTAGTAGATTCCATCAATATTCCCAAGCTTCCAAATTCGCTGAATCTTTTTGTGCCACAATTGCTTTGCTCATTAATAGATGGTATATCGATGTGAGATAGAGTTGCTTCAAGTATGTTTATGTTGTGCACAGTTGTTTTAGTTATCTAAGCATCTCTAAATTTGATTTAATGTATTTTATATCAACTGGCAAGTAATACATAAGTTTTCAACGATTTCCAAAGATTTCCAAAGACTTCAGCTTCTTAAATGCAAAAATGCAAAAATACAAAGCTCCTAAAGAACAGAGACTGTATGATAAGATCTTAAGCTACTAGGCCTACCTTTCCTCTCAGTATTATTGCCATGACCTTCGAACTTGGCTTACAAAACCAAAATTCTTAGATGTACTAGTATCCGGATTTCTTTACATCATGACTACTTCTATAACTTTTATCTATAATTCCTGCCTCAGATTTTTGAACTAATTCCGATTGGAATAATAACTTTGAGTAGACCTGAGAGACAAACTATATATGGATCCTGAAGTCTGACCCAAACAGATGGTGACTTCCCCCGACTCTTTACAGGTAAGCTCACGATAGTTTTACATTTGAATTTCGAGTATGAGAGAATAACACTTTTAAGTATTTGTAAGCAAACACCCAGTTTTGGAAGAATAGGGGTTGGTAGAAATTATTCAGGCTCATTAAATGGCTTCTTTAAATCATAAAAGCCTCTTTGAGCATTTTTAGAATTTTCGATTGAATAAAAGCTAGTTATGAGAAGTTGAATCCATTTCATTTACTCATTGTCTCACTATATTTTCAATTCATTTGAACAATTTGATTTGGTGTTTCATTTAAAAGCTCTGTTTTTTGTGTTATTTGCCATAATCAATCCTAACAGGCTCAAAATTGATATGGAGAATACCAAAAGCCAATTGAATGGGCTTTTCAGAGATTCAACTCAACAAAGTTTCAGAAACAATTCGTTCACTGAAGTGTTCAAGATCTTTCAAAATCGATTATGAAAAAGACCCAGACTAAACCTCCGATTACTAATCAGAAAGTAGAGACTCTAGAGACTATAGAATTGATCCAAGGAGTTCAAGAGTGAATTCTAGTTCAATCATCAGTGCAAGACAATTCTCTCGAAATCAATAAAACTGCATCAAAACTTGTAAATATGTTGCAGAGAACTCTGATGCCTCCCCCAGATCCCAAAGTTAGCCCTTTAAATTGTAAAAGAAGTATTGGAGACCAATCGGAGCTTCAAAAGGAACTAACTAAACCTGAGAATTTTGTAGAAAAAGACACACAACTGAAGTCAAAGCTTCAAATTGAAGAAGACAAGCAAGCTCAGCCTGACAATGACTTCGGAGTTGAAGAAGCTGATGAGAAAGCCCAGTTCGATTTTCCTCTTTCACCTAAAAGCAAAAGGAGAATGATTAGATGGGGCAAATGCCAAGATAAGAAACTCTTTGCAGCTATTAGATCTCTTGAGAAGCAAGGGGTTCTCCAGCTTGAAAGCCTCCTCGCAATGAATGCTGAAACTGAAACCGACAGTAACCAAGGAGTGGCAGCTTTGGCTGAGAAGATCCAGTGGAAATGCAAATTTAAAAATTTGGTCTACAGAGTCAAGAAATTAAGTAACAAGAAGTTCTCCTTTAGAGAAGTCAAGGCTTTAAAGAGAATCATCAAGAAAGAGTACCAAGACAAGCCAATTGATTATGATAAAGTTTTGTATCACTTCCCAGGCAAGAGCATGGATAAAATGGTGATTACCTGTAGTCACATCAAGGATTGTATCAAGAACAGATCATTGTCTCACTTTGAGAGCGAGTATTAGATTCTTATCCAAATATTTTACTCAATAATTGTGTCTGATATCATTAAAACTTCGGATGGTGTGACTAGAGTTTTAAATTTAGTCAAGATAAAAGATAAATAAATTAATTCGATTTTTCAATTAAAACACACCCCCAAGGGGTTTTGGGGTTTTGGGGTTTTGGGG